TATATATGCATATGTATATATGCATATGTATGTATATGTATGTATGCATATGTATGTATATGTATGTATGCATATGTATGTATATGTATGTATATATAAAATGCAAATGCAAATGTTAAAAGGTGTGAGCGACAGTGAGTAAAAGACGAAGAAAATGCGGTCTAGCATGACTAGCCTTACTTCGGCAAAGTAGTGATTTCTGTAGTTCATTAGTATTGGATCGCTAGGTTCTGCCTCAAATTACGGTAAACAATAAACAACGTCATCTTAAGTAGAAATCGTAATAATTTGTACATGATTTGTCATCAGTATTATTATTTAAAAGAAGAAAGTTCCTACTACCAGAACAATATCAGATCAAAATTCTCCGAATTGGAAAGTTAACCAGTATAAATTACTATCTGCTGTCCTCCTCTATGACATCGAAATTTGAACATACTGACGGCCCACTAAGTTTACCTAGCTATCGAAACTAAACACTCAGTTTTAAAAAACATGATCGATCTAATAATAAGGTAGGAAATAACAAAACAATAAGTTCTAACATTGTTTATTAGTAAATTGCAACATTGTCCACAAGCTGAAAGCTGGTAAACTATATTTCAATATTGTTTACACATTGTTTATCAGACCGACGATCCAGCCTACGAAGTTTGCAAAGCTAATTAAAATAACAATGACCTTCGTAGTGGTTCTTATCTACGTTCAAAACATAACCTACGAGCAGATTACGAGAGGTTACGAGCAGATACGAAGCAGTACTGTAATTCCTGTCTGTACTGTAATTTCTATGTTCACGACGGTCGGCTAGCTGTTAGCGTGCCTCAAATGCCTAAGTGCACACACAACAGCAGAAATAAAGCAGCCGACTGCCGGGTAAATAATGGCTTTCGAGCTTGGGGGTTTTTACTTGAATGATTTCAATGTCAATGGCCAGTCCACGATTTTTTTTTTCCGTACGAAACATTTGCATGAAACTTCACTCGGGCCTTTTTAAGTGCATGAAAACAATGTTAAAACAATTTTTAACATTTTAGCCAATTTTGGCTAAACAAATATCCAATTGGCTGAATTTTTGTTTTTTTAACTTAAGTCAATTGGCTTAAAACAAAAATGAAACCTCTACATAAATATCTTCATAATTACAGAATTACAAAATATTTCAAAAAGTGTACACAACAAACATTACAACAACCATATTTCCATTAATATCACTGTACACGACATCACACCTTTCCTAACTGTTAAGTGAACATAAGAAAAAAGGTCAATGATGATGCATACAACTAACTCAAACTTTAAATGTTTTTCTTTATGTTCAATACACATAACAACACGCCACACAACCTCCACCCACCGACAGCACTTAAACATTGCCAGCTATTGTCAAGTGGGCTATTGCATCATTGATGCTCTCGTTTATACAAAAAATGACCTTTTTACCCCAAAAATAGGTTGTGACGAACATAATATTAAGATTTTTTATAGAGATACCAAGTTGAGTCCTATACAACAGTATGTGATTCAATCACTATCACAGTGTTTGGATGGGTTTGTGGTGTTTTTTTTTAGGTTTGCAGGGTTCAGCAATTTTTTAATACAAAAAATGGCCTTTTTATCCCAAAAACCGGTTGTGACGAACATAAAATTATGATTTGTTTTGAGATACCAAGTTGAGTCCTATACTATGTGATTCAATAATTATCACAGGGTTTGGATGGGGTTTGCACTTTGTTTTTGGAGGTTTGCGGGGTTTTAGCAATGTTTTTAATCAAAAAATGGCATTTTTACCCAAAAAGTAGGTTGTTACAAACGGAACATTATACTTTTTTTTACTGAGATACCAAGTTAGTCCTATACTACATGATTCAATCACTATCACAGGGCTTGGATGGGATTTGCACTGTGTTTTGGGGGGTTTGCGGGGTTTAGCAATTTTTTTATACAGAAAATGGTCTTTTTACCCCAAAAATAGGTTGTGACGAACATAAAATTAAGATTTTTTTTATTGAGATACCAAGTTGAGTCCTATACTATGTGATTCAATCGCTATCACAGGGTTTGGATGGGGTTTGCACTGTGTTTTTGGAGGTTTGCAGGGTTTAGCAATTTTCTAATACAAAAAATGGCCTTTTTACCCCAAAAATCGGTTTTGACGAACATAAAATTATGATTTGTTTTGAGATACCAAGTTGAGTCCTACAATATGTGATTCAATCATTATCACAGAGTTTGGGTGGGGTTTGCACTGTGTTTTTGGAGGTTTGCGGGGTTTAGCAATGTTTTAATTTATACAAAATATGGCATTTTTACCCAAAAAGTAGGTTGTTGCGAACGGAATATTATAATTTTATTTCCTATGCATGTAATGCAATAGGAACTATTGTAATCACTCTGTCACATTTCTTTTGTTTTTTATTGTGTGTAGTATGTGTGTGCGTATGTGTGTAGACATTTATGCAAATGCGCATGCTTCATTGAAAAGTTTTCCGACATTTTGTTTTACATCGCGATGCGAAGTTCGATGTGGATTTTCTGCAGAGTTCAGTCAGGGCTCACGCTAACCGATCGGCAAGTCGGCATGCATGAAACTATTTTGGTTTTACGGCAAAAAAATCAACTGCTGTGGCATAGGTATTTTGAAGAAGGCCTAAAATAAAACAAAAAGGTTTTAATACTTGCTGAAGTACATCGTTTTTTCATTTAGATCTCCATTTCTCACTAACTCGTTAGCGCTCTAATATTCTTATTATTGTCTCTATGGAGTAGTCGTACGAAGGTACCATATCCCTGACAGTTGGTTATGCAGCAATGTACCCTTTAAATACAAATTGAAGACAAGTGAAGATATAAAGGCAGTCGACTGTCGGGTACATAACGACTATCTGACTTTCCACAAAAACATTAGGCCTAAGCTAGGCCTAGTTCGTCAGTACAGTAGTTACTGCGATGCGAGGGTGGTAGATCGTTCTGTCAGTGATATCGTGTTATCGTCTAATAAGTAATACATTTTAATAATGTGTGTACAATTTAAGAATGCACCGCGTGGGTTGCTTTCTTTGTTATGCGGTAGTAGTATACGTAGCAGAGCAATCTAAGCCTGCCTAGGGCCTAGATGGTATACGTTCTTGATCATCGACGATCGTAATGAAAACTTCGGGTGACAGACGATTGGGCCCAACTGGTGTGGACGATCGGACCCAAGATAGCTTCAAATAAATTGTAGTCCTAGTAGGCCACTGCCACCACCACCACTCCTGATATCGTTCCAAACTACTGTAAAATGAAATTACTGTATACCTAGCTAGGCCCTATGCCTACGAAATTTTTTCAAAGAAATTTGGTAAAAATATTACTGTAATTTGCCTGTCGAATTACATTAATAAAATCACTA